GGGGCTGAGCGTGAGGCTGCCCCACGGGAGGGGGCTGCACCCCAAAGTGGGCTCCGCGGTGCCCCGTGCTGCCAGGCACCGTACCCGGCGTGGCGGCTGCTGCAGACCGACCCCGGGGCTCGGGCCGGTGCCTGCGGGCAATACCAGCCCCCCATCCCGGGCCGAGACCCCCACGCCGAGGGGCGGCGGGGTTCTGCTGTCTCGGGTGGGGGGGGGGTGAGCGGGACAGTCCCCATCCCGGCTCAGCGCAGGGGGAGCTGCGTGGGTCAGGGCTGCTCCCCACGGGGTGGGAGCCCCGGGTGCGTCAGGGGCTGGAGGGAAGGGGAAGGAGGGGAAAAGGGATGGCAAGCGAGTTGCAAGCTCCTCTTTTTAACAAAAATTCCCTTTAAAAGGCAGAGGCTCGTCCCCCCTGCAACGCCCAGCGCCTCGGCAAAGCGGCTTGCGCCGCCGCCCCGGCTCCACGCGGGAGCTGAGGCCTCGCACACTCGACACGCTGATGACCGGCAAGCGCCGGAGCTCGGGGTGGGGGGGAAAAAAACCACGAAGCCGGGTTCCCAGCCCAGCGCCTGGTCCCCCCCCTGCCCCAGAGCCAGGGAAAGGGGCAGCGTGCCGCAGCTGAAAGGAAGACGTTGGTGCCCAGGCCCTGCGGCTGGGCGGGCTGAGGCCCCTCCGGACGCCCCCCGCTCGGCTCTCCCTCCCTGCCGTGGGGCTGGGGGCAGAGAGGGGCCCCCCCTCCGGTGCCTCCGGCCGGTCCGTGCTCGCCGCGGCGCTCCTCCGGGACTCGCTCGCTCGGTGCGTGTGTGTGTGGCCAGTTATGGGACTTCCACTCGGCTGCTGCCGCTTTGTTCTTGGGTTTTTGTTTTGTTGTTTATTTTTTTATATTATTATTATTTTGTCGCTTTGTTTTTAATTTTTTTTATTTTGGATTTTTTTTTTTTTTTTGCTTGGGGTTGTTTTATTTGCAGGGGTTGACATTTTATTTTTCATTTGATTGCAAGGTTTCTGTGGCAAGATTTAAAATGTGTGTGGAGTTTTTTTTTTTTGCCCTTCCTGGTCCCAGAAGGAAACGGCCGCGGTTTCACTACAACAGAAACAGAGAGGCAGGTCTTTTGGCTGCAGCCCGGCCCCCCGAGCCCCCCCACTCTGCCCCCCATGCCCTGCAGCCAGCCCCCCCCCTGCACCGCAGAGCAGCACAGTCACCCTGGAAAAGCGGGGGGCTCGTCCCCATTGTCCCTGGGGTCCTGCCCCAGCCCAGCTCTGTCCCCAAGGAGTCTGCAGCAGCCCCCGCCGGCTCCTGTCTCTCTTACGGGGGGGCAGGGGGGCTGCTCTGGGGGTGTCATCGGCGCCGAGCATCCCCTCCTGCCTCATGGAGGGATGAGCGCTCGGCACCCTCCAGCAGGGGCAATGCCCGCCGGGGGGGCGGGGGGTTCCCCCACCCCAGTTTTGGGGTGCTGCGGGGGCCGAGGTGCGGCCCCACTCCCCGCGGTCCCCGGGGATGCCGGGGGCAGGCGCTGGTGCAGGAGATGCGGGCGGGCGGCGGGACGGAGCCGTAACCCTACGGGGGCTGCCGAGGCCCCGGGGGGCCCAGCCCCAGTCCCAGCCCCCCCGGGCACCCACGGTTCCTCCAGAGGCTCTGTCTGCCTGGTGTGTTGGGTGCTAGTGAGCGCTCAGTGCTAGTGGTGGGGGGGCTGTGTCTGTCTTGCTAGTAGGGAGTGAAGCGGCTGTACCCTCCTCGGTATAGACTAGCCTGCAACATCAAAGATGAAAAAAAAAGCCAATCAGTATTCGAGAGAGAGGCAAAGCCCAGTTCTTCCCTTTTTTTTTTTTTTAATCTTTTTTTTTTCTTTTTTTTTTTTTTTTTTCCTCTTTAAAATGACACCAAATTGCTTGTCCTTGGGACGTGAGGGGCGGGCAGGGCTGGGGGTGCCCAGTGCTGCCCAGACTCTGGGCTGGCTGCGGGCACTGCCTTGGGGTGGTGCGTGGTCTGGGGGCTGCCCCGAGCCCCGGTGCCCCCCAGCATGGCACCAGCATGGCAAGACCCCCCTGTGCCTGACGGCAGCAAAGCCCACTCCCGACCCCTCTGTGGCACTGGGCTGGTACCCTCCCTGCCCATCCCCACGGGATGGAGGGGCTGCTGGGGGTGCCAAGGGGTGCTTGGCAGCCCGACCCCAGCCCCAGCCCAGGGTGAGTGGGTTAAAAAAAAAGGAAGAAAAAGACAGTTTGGCTTTGAGATCCTGCCCCTGAGTGGGATTTTTCATCTTTGATGCTGGCTGTCAGGGTAGCTACAAGCCGTGGGTGCCTGGGTGGGCTGTGGGTACCGGCGGGCACACGCGTGCTCCCTGTGTGTGGCTGCACACTGGGGAGAAGAAAGGGGGTCCCGGGTCCCCGGGCAGGGCCCTGGGGGCAGCTGGACCCCCGGGAAGCAGCGTGTGTGGGGTATAATGGGGCACCAGGCATGGGGTGAGGGGGGGGTTCATCTCTTGCCTGCCTGGGACAGAGCCAGGCAGGGGCTGCGCTGCTCCTGCCACCGCCGCCAGCTCCCGGCTCCCCCTCCCCATAACCCCAGCGTGTGGGGCTGCCCCCAACCTGCCCTTGCACCCCACAGCTCCCCCCCACCCCCCCAGGCCTCCCCTCCCCAGGCTGCAGCTCGCGCCGGGATGCAAAGAAAGGCGGCGGGGGCTGCTCTTACCATGGTGCCGATGCTGTACGTGGCGGCGGGGCCGATGGTGTGGTGGTAGGGGTCTGCCGCGGCATACACTCTGCCGTAACTGGAACCAAACACAGGGGGGGGAGTTAGTGACCGGGGACGGGGTCCCATCTCCCCTCAGAACCCCCCCACATCCCCATCACCACCCCCTCCTGCACCCCAGCACCTTCCCGCTTCTCCCAGTCCCAGCTGAAGCCCAGGGCAGCGGGGGCAGCTGGACCCCCGGGAAGCAGCGTGTGTGGGGTATAATGGGGCACCAGGCATGGGGTGAGGGGGGGGTTCATCTCTTGCCTGCCTGGGACAGAGCCAGGCAGGGGCTGCGCTGCTCCTGCCACCGCCGCCAGCTCCCGGCTCCCCCTCCCCATAACCCCAGCGTGTGGGGCTGCCCCCAACCTGCCCTTGCACCCCACAGCTCCCCCCCACCCCCCCAGGCCTCCCCTCCCCAGGCTGCAGCTCGCGCCGGGATGCAAAGAAAGGCGGCGGGGGCTGCTCTTACCATGGTGCCGATGCTGTACGTGGCGGCGGGGCCGATGGTGTGGTGGTAGGGGTCTGCCGCGGCATACACTCTGCCGTAACTGGAACCAAACACAGGGGGGGGAGTTAGTGACCGGGAACGGGGTCCCATCTCCCTTCAGAACCCCCCCACATCCCCATTACCCCCCCCTCCTGCACCCCAGCACCTTCCCACTTCTCCCAGTCTCAGCTGAAGCCCAGGGACCCCCGTTTGCAGGGTGCCCTCAGCATCCCTAGCTCCGTCCTCATCCCACGGGGGACTGGGGTGTGTCAGATGGGGGTGCAGGGGGTGAAATGGGGCTTTGCCCCCCTGCCCCAGAGGGAGACCCCTGCTTACCTGTCGCTGTACGCTGCCGCTGCTGCTGCTGGCTGGGCGTATCTGTAGGCGGCATAGCCCCCCTGTAGCAGAGGAGAGACTGGTCAGGGAGGGGGGCAGCACCCACCGGGGGGGGGGTCAGGGCAGCTGGGCACCCCCCTGGGCACTGCCACGGCGCAGCGGTGGGACCCTGCAGGGAGCCGGTGCCCATGGCACCCAGCGCACACCAGCCTCATTACCATTCCCCAGGGGCTTTCACAAACATTAACCTTAAAAAATTAAATTTCCAGAGGAGAGAATGTCACCTCCCTGATCGCTTTAATGAGGTGTCACGTTAGATAAATCCTTCAGCCGCCTGCCTGAAATATCGCCAACGGCTTCTTAAATATGGAGGTTAAATGCCGGTGTAAGACAGCGCACCGGGGCCTGGCGAGGCCATAAATCCCACGGGGTGCTGGCCCCATGGGGAGGCCTGGCTGGGGGGCACAGGACCCGTGTGGTGCCACCCCACTCGCTCTGAAGGAGCTGCGCTCACATCCACGCTCCGGTTGGGATCCAGGCTGAGCTCCCCAGGGGAAGGGGCTGGTGCCTCTCGCCCCCCACCCTGGCACAGGGTCCCTGGTGTGGCCCAGACCCAGACATGGCACTTACATAGATCTCGGCTCCGTAGAACCCGTCCTGGTAGACGACCCTGCAAACAAGGTGGAGGTGTCAGGACCTGGCCGGTGCCACCAGCTGAGAGGGGTCGGGGTGAAGGCGGTGAACTGGGGGAGCTGCTTCCTACAGAGCAGCCGATGGGTGAGGAGGGGTGTCCAGGCAGCCTGAGGGCATGTCCCAGGCTGGGAATGCTGGCAGGGAGGGCTGGGACATGGGGATGGGCAGAAGATGCCACAAGGATGGAGGAGTCCAGGGCATGGCCACTGTTGGGAGCAACCAAGTGGCCACATATGGCTACGGCTGTGCCTGAGTCCCGGGAGAAGGAGTTATTTCTGTTAAACCAACTGGCACAGCTGGAGCACCCGAGGGTGCTTTGGGGCACAGGAGCCTGGTGAGCACGTGGGTCACCCCGAAGGGCAGAAGGGGACCCCCTCTGATGGGGGTTTCCCAGAATCTGAGGCCAGGCAGGTGCTGGGAGAGTCACAGCCCGAGAGCCCGGCAATGCCAACGCCGACGGCAGCAGCACCGGAGCAAGGTGGCAGCAGCCGGGCACCGTGCCCGTGCCAGGCAGTGTCCCTGCCGCCCCGGTACTCACGCGCCGTAGGTGGGGATGGGTGGTGGCGGCGGCGCGGCCCGGAAGGTGTTGTAGACAGCACGTCCTCGTCCCCGTAAGTGTGCCCCTCGGTACGCCACCGCTGTGCCCGTGGCGGGGTACGGGAACCCCGTTACTGCAGGAGAGAGGGGACAAAGGTGGCCTTTCCCCAGCAGCTCCCGACAGGGACCCCCGCATATGAAGGTCCCTCTGTCCCCCCCCCACCCCAAGCCTGCTGGGGACACAGGGATGCTGGGGCAGGGGGGGTGTCGGGGGGAGCTGTGCGTGCAGGGGTGAGGGGCTGGGGGTGCTCAGAGCAGTGATGGTGTCGGACACGGAGTGAAGCTGACACTGGGGGGACCTGGGGAGGGGGGGTCCATCCCCGATGTGACGTTACCTGCGTAGAACTCGGGGCCGTAGACTGCGCCCACCACCGGGTTCAGCTTCCAGCCTGTGAGCAGGGAGAGCGGTGAGGACAGGGACAACCCCCTGCCGCCTTCCCCCCACCCTGAGGGGCCACACACCCCGTCCCCGGGTGGATGCAGGGTATGGGGTGCCCGGGGGAGCTGCACCCCCCCAAAAAGCAGGGAGCTGCTGCCCTCAGGTCCACCCAAGGGCACAGAGGGTGTTTGCTGCGGCAGCTCAGCCACAAGCGGGCAGCCACGGTGCCCGGGGATGCCCCTGCCCTCCTGGCACCGGTCCTTACCGTTGGAGTAAGGGTTGGCAGCCTTCTTGTTCGTCATGACGCGGGCCGTGGCGTTGTTCACCTGCAGAGAGAGGGGACAGGGGCTCAGTGCCAGCGGGCAGTGGGGCTGGGGGGGGGGGCTGCGGTCCAGGACCCGCTTGGCTGCGCTCGGTGCGTGTCACCGCTGCTTCGGGTGCCAGAGTGAAGGACACCGGCCGCCTGGGGAGACGCGGGAGGAATCTCTGCCAGCAGCTGCCCTGCCATGGTGCCATCCTGTCTGCACCCCAGCCCTCCCAGCTCCAGTGGCAAGTGTTGGCTGGGCTGGTGGCTGATGCCCCGACCGCTGCGGTGCCATGCTCAGGACAAGCCCCAGCATGCTGCCACCAGGCTCGGCCACCTCCCATCCCCACCTGATCCTGCCAGTGGGAAGGACACACTTGTGGCTTCATCCAAGCTCCTGTGAGCTCCTGCCTGGCTTTGTTGGACCACGTTCTCTGACATCGCTGTGCCCTGCCAGGCTGCCCTTCCCTTGGCACTGCTGGGGACATTTGTGTCCCACTCCCTCTGCCACGTGCTACCCCCTTCCCTCTGCTCGCTGGTGATCAGCGAGGTGCTGCCAGTGAACAGGCAGAGCCTGGTCCCTCTGCCCGGCTTCAAGAAGCAGAATTCCTGGGGCCAGGCAGCACGGCAGCCGCTGGCACAGTGGGCACGGGCACCCTGTGCAGCATCCTTGCCTCCCGGGGCAGGGGAGTGGGGATGGCACGCGGAGCAGGGAGCCCCTCTCCTCCCTGCAGAGCCCAGGGTGGGCTGCGTGGTGGGTGGGGGGGGGCTGTGGGGGTCCACCAGACCCCTCTGTAACCAGGCAAAATGCAGGCAGAGCCCGGGCCACGCTCTCCCCACACGCAGGAGGCTCCTTTGAGCTGGATGCTCCTTGTGCCAAGTGAGGAGCACCCCGGCAGCGGGCACACATGCTCCCATGCCACCATTCAGGGACGCATGCACGCGCCGGGAACAGCCCCCCCCGGGACATGCGGGACCTGGGGCTGCCCCAAAACGTCCCCCTGCCCTTGGTCCCCGGGTGGCTCTGCCCTGCCTGCAGCCCCCCGGGCAGGGCGCAGGGGACACACGCACACGCAGGCATGGCACTAGCACACTTATCTGAGCACCTCAATCTTCCGGCCCTCTACGATGGTGCCATTCAGCTTCTCCCGTGCCCGGTCGGCATCTGTGCTAGTTTCAAAAGTTACAAACCCAAAACCCTGTGAGCAGAGGAGAAAAGGAGAAAAGAAAGAGACAGAGAGAGAGAGAGAGAGAGACAGAGAGAGGGTGTGGGGACAGAGAGAGAGAGGGGGTGAATCAGGAGAGCTGGCGCAGGAGATGAGGCTGCCGCAGTGCAGAGATGGAGAGCCTGGGTCAGGGCCCCCGCTGGCACCGGGGGTCCCGGCTGAGGCCCCAGCATCGCCCACCAGCTGGGAGAAGAGGCTGGGAGAGGGGCACAGAAAGCAGGGAAGATACAACAGAGACATCCACACACAGAGGGACACGAGCTGCCTGTGCAGGGAAGAGGGGGGCAGAGCCAGCCCTCCCCTCCCTCGGGGCACAGGGACCTGCACAGCCCCCCCCAGCCGGGACAGGGCTGCCCCAGGATGGGATACCCCATGCCTGGATCCCGTGGGGCAGGAGAGGAGGGGAGAGCAGGCAGAGGAGCCCCCAGGAACCCCAGCTTCCCCTGCCCCCCTCCCTGTAACGGCGCCGGCCACGGGCAGCACCCACCTTGGAGCCCCGCTCATTGAAAATGATCTCCACATCCAGGATCTTCCCGAATTGCTGCAAGCAGAGAGAATGGGGGGGGGGTGAGCACCTGCAGACCCCCAGCCCCATGCCATGGGGGGACCCTCCATGCCATGCAGGGGAGAGCCCCCATCCCTCCCTCCCACAGCACCCCTTCTTCCAGGACGTGAGGAGTATCCCCCTCAATCTCATTAGACTGCACCACCCTGAATCCTAATGAGGGCTGGGAAGGGGACAAGGGGAGGGGGACACGGGCTCTGTCACTCCCCCCTCCACGCACGGGCCTTGGCCCCCCAACCTGGTTAATAACCAGGGTGCAAATCCTGCCCAACACTGCTCCTGGCCAGCGGTGGCACGGAGGTGCCCGGGCACACCATGGGGATGGGACACGGTGGGGTCCCTCCAGTGCCACCGGCAGCACCTGAGCAGGGGACGCGGGTGGGTGGATGGGGCCGGACTCACCCCGAACATTTGCCGCAGGTCGGGGTCCCGGAATCGGAAGGGGATGTTGGAGACGTGTAACCTCTTGGGCTGCTGCTTGTCTGTGTTGTCTGAGGAGTGTAGCTGCTGGCTCTCTGTCTGTGCCGCCTCGTCTGTCTGCTGCAGGAAGCACCGCCGGCCATCAGCCCCCACCTCGCCACCTCCATGCCCCCCCCACCCCCCTGGATGGGGGTCCAGGCTTAGGGACTGTCCCCCTCCCCTCCCCTCCCCTCGGCCCTGCCTGCCCCTAAGGACACCCTGGACCCTGTGGTCCCCCAAGCTCTGGGTAGCGCTCCGTGGACCACTGCTCCTGGCCAGCGGTGGCACGGAGGTGCCCGGGCACACCATGGGGATGGGACACGGTGGGGTCCCTCCAGTGCCACCGGCAGCACCTGAGCAGGGGACGCGGGTGGGTGGATGGGGCCGGACTCACCCCGAACATTTGCCGCAGGTCGGGGTCCCGGAATCGGAAGGGGATGTTGGAGACGTGTAACCTCTTGGGCTGCTGCTTGTCTGTGTTGTCTGAGGAGTGTAGCTGCTGGCTCTCTGTCTGTGCCGCCTCGTCTGTCTGCTGCAGGAAGCACCGCCGGCCATCAGCCCCCACCTCGCCACCTCCATGCCCCCCCCACCCCCCTGGATGGGGGTCCAGGCTTAGGGACTGTCCCCCTCCCCTCCCCTCGGCCCTGCCTGCCCCTAAGGACACCCTGGACCCTGTGGTCCCCCAAGCTCTGGGTAGCGCTCCGTGGGTCTCCCCACAGCCCGGTGAGTTGGGGGGGATGCCGGAGGGGAACTCTGCCTGTGGGAGTGGGCAATGTCCACCCTGGGGAACCAGCCTGACCCCCCCACCTCGGTCAGTGCTGCCAACGGGGTGAGGGCATCACCCACCCCATGGGGGGCTGAGGGCACAGGGAGCACACCCTGGGATGAGGGTGGGGGTGACCCACTGTCCAGAGAGCTGGCCAGCATAGCGTGGCCTCACACTGGCCTCTTCCCACCCTGTCGTTAGCCCAGTGGCACGGTGGCACACGGGGGAGGTGTGTGTGTGTGTGCTCAGGGTGGGGGGTGGCAGACCCCGCACACGGGGGCTGGGAAGTGTCGGCTCAGCATTTTCGGCAGCGCTGCGTTACAGCCCCGGAATTGAAGCTCTCTGGTGGGAAGGCAGCCAAGCAGGTAGATTACAAGTGATTAAAAATGATGGGGGGGGGGCGGGGGGTGAGGGGGCTGCGAGGGAGAGAAGCAC